CGAGGCTCGCGGTGCGGTGCCGACGAATGCAAAGCAGACCATGAGGGTCTGGCCGGGGCTGCGGCTCATCGGAGCGGGCGGCAAGGTGCAGAAGGGCACCTTTCTGACCGTGGAAGCGGTGGAGGAGGACGTGGTTCGCCTGGAGAGCGGCCAGTCCTTCGCAGGGCCGGAGCTGCTGAAGCACACCCGGCTTTGTAGCGCCATCACCTACGCTTCGGTCCAGGGACTGACTTTGAGAGGGCGGGTCTGGCTGTACGATGTGGAGAGTCAGCACTTCACGCTCAAGCATCTCTACATGGGCTGCTCCCGGGCCACCAATTCGGAGCTTTTGAGTGTATTTTTCCCGAAAGCGTCGCGAAGGGTTCTTCCGTGCGGAGCCGGGTAGACAAGTACATAGATGACAAACATAGAATCGAGCACATGACCTTATGACTTGACACTTGATACATAGATTACAAACATAGAATCGAGCACATGACCTTATGACTTGACACTTGAGTCTACGACTCTATGACCCTATGACTCTATGACTCTAAGACCGAACTTGACTACTCTTGACTACTCTATGACTCTATGAACTTGAGGACTCTGTGACTTACTCACTTGACTACTCTATGACTCTGTGACTTACTCTGTGACTTACTCTGTGACTTACTCTGTGACTTACTCTGTGACTTACTCTGTGACTTACTCTTGACTTACTCTGTGACTTACTCTGTGACTTACTCTCTGACTTACTCTCTGACTTATGACTTACTCTGTGACTTTCTCTCTGACTTACTTTCTGACTTACTCTGTGACTTACTCTGTGACTTACTCTGTGACTTACTCTCTGACTTACTCTCTGACTTATGACTTACTCTGTGACTTACTCTCTGACTTACTCTCTGACTTACTCTCTACATCTCGGTATCTAATCTCTCTTCTAAAGCCAGGGGTGGCACCGACGTCGTCCATCGGGAATGCAACCCTTCACAGGGAGTGGCCACCTCGAGCGCCCAAACGCTAGGTAAAGTTACACATTTTAAGGTTCCCGCGCAACCCTTCCCAGGGATTCGCCTCCTCCGGCGTTCAAACGCTAAGTAAAGTTACACATTTTTATGTGCGCTTCGCACCCTTCCCAGGGATTCGCCTCTTCGGGCGTTCAAAAGCGAGGTAAAGTTACACATTTTTATGTGCGCTTCGCACCCTTCCCAGGGATTCGCCTCCTCGGGCGTTCAAACGCGAGTTAAAGTTACACATTTTAGGCGCCCGGCGCAACCCTTCACAGGGATTCGCCTCCTCGGGCGTTCAAACGCGAGGTAAAGTTACACATTTTAGGCGCCCGGCGCAACCCTTCACAGGGATTCGCCTCCTCGGGTGTTCAAACGCGAAGTAAAGTTACACATTTTGCGGGCGCCGCGCAACCCTTCACAGGGTTTGGGCGCAGCTCAATTGCATTTTGCAGCCCTTCACAGGGATTGGCATTTTGCAACCCTTCACAGGGATTGGCATGGTCGAATGCACGAACGCTAAGTAAAGTTGCACTTTTAGATGTGCATTGAAATGAATTTTGCAACCCTTCACGGGGATTGGCGTGGTCGAGTGTTCGAACGCGAGGTAAAGTTGCAATTTTTTTATGTGCATTGAGATGAATTTTGCAACCCTTCACAGGGATTGGCGTGGTCGAGTGTTCGAACGCGAGGCAAAGTTGCAATTTTTGATGTGCATTGAGATGAATTTTGCAACCCTTGACAGGGATTGGCGTGGTCAAGTGTTCGAACGCGAGGTAAAGTTGCAATTTTTGATGTGCATTGAGATGAATTTTGCAACCCTTCACACAGATTGGCGTTGTCGAGTGTTCGAACGCGAGGTAAAGTTATTACTTTTGATGTGCATTGAGGTGAAACTTGCAACCCTTCACAGAGATTGGCGTTGTCGAGTGTTCGAACTAGTACTACTACTACTACTACTACTACCACTACCACTACTACAACTATTATTACTACTACTACTGCTACTACTACCACTACTACAAAAGAATACTACTACTACTACTACTACTACTACTGCTACTACTACTACTACTGCTACTACTACTAGTACTACTACTACTAGTACTACTACTACTACTACTACTACTACTACTACTACTACTACTACTACTACTACTACTACTACCACTACGACTACCACTACTACTGCTACTGCTACTACTGCTACTACTACTACTACTACTACAAGTACCACAACAACAACAACTACAACTACTACTACTATTACTACTACTGCTGCGACATAAAGTGACCATGCATAGAGTCATAGAGTCACGTTGAAACCACAGTAACAGGGATGTCTATATAGTGAGGTTCCGGAGCTAGGAAAGGAAGACTTCTGCGTCATGTTGGAAAGAAACCCTAAACCCGCTAAACCTGAACATTTGTGTTCATAGAGTGAACTACATCAAGTCAAGTGCGTGGTACATAGATGACTCCATGACTCTATGACTCTTTCTCACTCTGACGCTATGACTCTATAACACTATGACTCTATGATTCTGTCTCACTGTGACTCTATGACTCTATATGACTCTATGACTCTTTGAACTATGACTTGTGCTTGACATGTACTCGACTCTATTTCTCGATGACTCTATGAACTATGACTTGTACGACTCTTGACTGTATGTGACACTCCGACTCTGTGACTCCGTGCTTTTGACTCGGTGACTCTATGACCCTACACACTGGATTCTATGACGTAGCGCAACACTCTTCGCTGATGATGCTTTCGGGCCAATTGTCTTCTAGTTATTTAAAGTCTTTTTTGTTCTCACACCGCGTGGCATACCCAGCATGCCCGGCATAAGTTATTTGTCTAAATCAAAATAAAATATAAACAAGACCATCCGGCGGCCGCCGACAGTGGCAATATGCCGTGCGTGCTGGGTTTTCCAGAAGGCTTCGGAGGTGAGCCTCAAGGCCTCTTGTGAGCGTCGGGATCGCAAAAAGCCGGCATGCCCGGCATGCCGCATGTCTTGACGGCGCTCCTGGCTATCAGGCCTTGTTCGACAGCCCTTCTGGCAGGGGGGCCCGGCGGTCGTCGAAGGGCACGCGGGCCAGAAAGCATGATCATGCGGAGCATGCGCCCAAGAACTCTCTCTCGGCCCCTTTAAGCGTGCGGCGTCCAGGAGGGGTTCGAAAGATGGGTTGGTCTCAGGCGGAGGAAGTAGGTCTCGGCCAGCGGCTGATCATCACGGCGCTCCACTGAGGTCTCAACCTCCTCAGCCTCCATCTGCAGTTCGACTTTCAAGAAGAAGGGAAGCTGCAATCGCAGCGTCGCGTCCAACCAGGGCGTCCGCACGTCCCGGCCGCGGGGTTCCAGCAAGAGCTCCTGCAGTCAGAAGCTCTCGCGAACCCGCTTCTGGCGCACGCTGACCCTGCTCCCGCCAGCGGCTTGCACGATGCCAAGTTCCAAAGCGGCAGCAATGTGGCCATCAAGCAACGTGGTCACTCTCGCTATTTTTCCAGCGAAGAGGAGGCGGGAAACGGCTGGGAGTCTTCAAGATAAGGGTGGTCGACACCTGCCTTCCGCGGACCGAGAGATCTACCTGTACTGGCGCGCCGCCGCCCTTAACACGTGCTGGCGGGCCAAATTTTCCATTCAGAAACCGAGTGCACCCCATAGAGAGCGCATTCCCAAGTCCGCATCCAAACTTGAGGCGCGCTTGCCCGATCGCATCGTAAGCAAGGCGGCCCTGTGGTCGTGTCCACGGGAGCATCTCTTCCTGGCGTTCCTCCGTGAGTTGGGAAATTGTGCGGCCCGAGGTCCATAGCTCCATCTCTGCTTCTCGGATCGGCAGAAATTTGCGCTCTGCAAACAGAGTCAAGCAAAGGAGTTCGCTCGCCTGGTGCATGCAGTTCGTGCCGTCGCTGCCGTAGTTGCGCTAAGGCGCACTGGGGTCGGCTGTGTCGGCGCTCTTCTTTTCCAAAAAGGCGCCAACAAAAATGGTTTCGACTTGTGCGGGCAAAAAGGACACAATTTAGCCTGTTTAGCATGATTTCCGAATTTGCCGACATTTTTTCACGGTTTTAACGATTTTCCGCTTTGTTTTGGATGTGTTTTTTGGCGCTTCGTAGCATGTTTGTATGTGGGGCTAATCACTCATTGTCCCGTCGCAGGCTTTCCCTTTTTCACAAAGTGAAGGGTAGAGGGCGAGTGTGCAGCCTGTAGTACCTGTTAGCCCTTCCTTTTCCCTCCCTGTCTCGTGCTCCGCGTCAGGCTCGCCTCCTCGTCTTCTTTTGCAGTGCGGGTCCAGTTGCGAGGTTGCTAAGGGCTAGTCGTTCGTTTCAGGCGGCTTGGAGCTCCGAGGCTGTCAGGCTTTTTGCTTTCGAGCGTCCGCGCTTGCAGGAGGATTGACTGCTGGGGTTTGTTTAGCTTTTTTCTTCCAGAACCCTTAAAGATACCCTAGGCTGCCCTGCGTTCCCGGAACCTTGTTGACAGGTTCTTCACAGCTGGCTGGCCCGACCTCGCACAGATGGTGCTGCAGACTGCCGTGAGCTTGCGTTGAGCGCTCAGTTGCCCTACGTTGCATGTGAGGGGGGATTGATTGTGAAGAGGAGATGCTGGGGGGAGGCGGGGAGGGGGGGAGGTTGCAGTAAGACTGAGCCGGTGTGCCCAGGTCCATCATCGATGAGGTTGCGTGACAGAAGTGGCGGCCCTGTTGGATGAGTGTCGATTTTGCTTGCAGTGCGTACCTCGCGTTGTTGCTCCTTTGCAAATGTGATTGACTGTTGCACAGTGTTACAGTTGCAGCAGGCTGTTAGATACGTCTGTGCCAAACAACTTGTGCGTGATGCTGCTTCTGTGCCCAAACTATTGCAGAAACTTTCCGAATATGTGCTAGGTACTTGTTGATAGAAACATCTGTTCTTCTTTTCAGCTGTTTGAGCATGTGCATTGAGACGCGCTCATTTGCATGATTGACTTGCTTTATCTTTAAAGTCTCCGCTGGGTTGCAAATGTCGGCACCATCGCTAGATAGTAGCGTGACCGGAGTGGGTGGTGATGAAATCCTGTACAATGCACTACACGAGTTGGGTTTTATCATTGAAAGGAACCGTATACTCCGAAGAGACACGGGACAGGAAGCAGACTCGCAGTCCGAGCAGCAGTGGCACATGCAGGTTGATGCCTGGAAGTGTTACTGTGCACAGCACGGCAGCCGCGCAATGAAAGCACGGTCTGCATGGCGAGAGAAGTATGCACCCCACGCTCCATGGTGTGACGTCGAACGGCTGATGTTGCAAGCGTCACACCGGGACTTAAGGGCCCTCACTGAGATTGACTTCGTTATCAAGGCACATCCCGCTGAGGAGTGTGACTTGAGTGCAGCCTTTCCCACTCCATTCATACTTGGCCGGGCTGGAGCTAACACCCGGCCTCTGAGCGGCCGTGATTTCCGTCGGCTCTTCACCTGCGACTTTCTGGTGGAGTCCACTTTGGCAAGCGGTTCGGATGTGGACAAGTCAATCAAGTTGGCTAGCTTGAAGGCGTTGGCGAGGCTGCGAGGTCAAAACGAACGCATCGCTCTTTTCTACAACGGCAAGGAACCTGGTTTGCCGCCAGCGCAGACAATTCCTGCAGGTACATTGGTGATTTACTTTGCACAGCAAGCTACACTGACGTATCCTTACAGGCTCAAGAAGCGCATGTTGGAGGAAAAGCAGGACCAGTTGGAGGAGGAGAGAGAGCAGAGGAAGCGCCAGCAGGACCAGTTGGAGGAGGAGAGAGAGCAGAGGAAGCGCCAGCAGAACCAGTTGGAGGAGGAGAGAGAGCAGAGGAAGCGCCAGCAGAACCAGTTGGAGGAGGAGAGAGAGCAGAGGAAGCGCCAGCAGAACCAGTTGGAGGAGGAGAGATAGCAGAGGAAGCGCCAGCAGAACCAGTTAGAGGATACTCAGAAAGAGGTAAAGCGTTTGAAGTCGTTGTTGTGTCACGAAGATGCCCAGTAAGAGTTCGATATGTTGTCGCCAGTTTCACCGGTCGCCAGACCAATAGACCGCCTCTTGTCTCGATGACTGAGTGAGAAAAGCTAGTCCCGTTTGTGTCAGGGTTACCACGACAAGCTTTTGTGATCATCTTGATTGTTGGGAAGCTGACAGTACACACTCCAAAACCGTTCCCGCAAACAGAATGTCGCCCAGGTCTTTGCTCCGCGCTGCTGGGGCCTCTGAGGCTCGAGAGTTTTTCAGGTTGTAGGCGGTTGGGGATATGAGGCAGTTAGGTCGTGACGCGCCTGCGCAGGAAGTGTTGTCAACTGTGAACCCCCCCCCCCCCCCCCCCGTAACTCCACAGTGCCCCGCGCGTCCCTCGCCCCTCACGGAACCGTCTCCAAGGCCATGAAGGCCATGTCCGTGATCGAGCACTTTGCCAGAAGTGACATGGCTGACTGGGCGGCGATGCTGCTCAGTTCCAAGCTCGATGCAATATACCGCGATCTTTATCCTGTGACCAGTCAGTTATGCCAGACTGTATGTCGCGCCACACTTTTGCACATAGTCATAGTGATGGGGTTGCTTGGACGTATCGGAGCATTAGATACTTTACCAGGCGTGGTTTCAATCACTTGTATTTTGTATTGTGTGCGCATGTGATCTCGCATGCTGATCAGCTTTCTGCCGCAGTCATGCATTGATACACAGCAGTCCAGCAAGCACCCGATGCTCACAGAACCGGTTTGTGCCCCTTGCCCTGCACCAACGAGGGAGGCCCATGCACCATTCATGTAGGGACCAAGACTTGGCTTGATGCAGTGTTAGGAGTTCTGAAAGCTCTCCACTTGCATCCACCGGCTGGGCAGATCCGTATGCTAGTTGCTGATGAGAAAGTTCGGCAACGCCTTGTGAAGGGGCCAAGAATCAAACGCAGCGGGTCGACATTCTTTTCGGTGTCGCATTCAAAGCCAAGTTGGGTTGGCAACAGTAACAGACACGGGAAACGGGTGCCAGCGCGACCTTGCCAAAGTCCTCCCCGTCCTCCTCTCCGGATCAAGCTTCTCCGCTGCCACAGTGGCGCTTGCGGGTACAAGATTGGCAGCAGCACAAACCTGCTTGCGCCCCGGTTCCGTTTGCCAAGGACGCTCGGCAGGATGCCTTTAGACCGGACCCGGAAGGGGACTATGACCCTTCTCTGGAATCGCACTCCTGGCGTGTATTGTGTTGATGCGGCTTCGGCCGATCGCGTGTTGTGTAGCATCCCAGCTCGCACACCCCCATGTGGGAGTCGACAAGCTATGCAAGGAACTGGCCGTGACGGCCGTCGACACTGTTGAGGTACAGTTGGGATGGTGGGCGGATTTGTGCCACGAGTCCGAGGCCCAACTCTATAGTTAGGTCCTTGCGGCCTAAAGGAGGCTGGGCAAGCGTCGTTCGGGGGTAAGGGTAGAAGTCAAGGCTCGGACCGTGACAAGGGCCGTTGTAAGGGTAAAAGCCGAGGTGTCCCTTCCACCGTCGTCATGCTTGTCAATACTCACCTCAAAACTCTCGTCGATTCGCCAGGGGCCGCGGTTTTTGAGGCGGGCAAAACCTGCCGCCATTGCGTTCAGGAGGAGTGCACTAAAGTCTGCAGGTGAGTTCCCAACTCGACTGCGTTGGAGTGGTTGACCAAAGGGCTTCCATCGGCCGCTGCCCTTGCCAGGGATTTCATCGCACAGCTTGCCCCGTATCGTAAAGTGTGGGTGCCTGACCGCAGCTCCAACTCGCTGGGGGGTTGCGGGTTCATATGGACCAGGAGCAGGCCTTGCAAAGCCGTGCTGCAACCACATGTGTGGTCTCTGTGCCGGATTCTCACCATCGATTCTGTGTGCGTGACTTGCCTCGCGACTTTGATCCTGAAAGCATTGTTGCTACTCTTGCCACTGAGGCTTTCAAACCATACTTAGTGAGCAACTTGCTCACATGGACTAGGACTCGTCGCATCACCTTGGTTCCTCCACAGAGCCTGCTGACATTGTTTTTGCCACAGGGATGCTGGAGGTACCGTCCACAAAGTGCTGCTCGAGAAGCTTGCCGGCCCCACAGCCGCGCGGACCTCAGCGACCAGGCGTCTTGAGGTCCCACGCGCAAGTCGCGTCCGGCGAACCATTGGGTGCGCCGAACCACCTGGCTCGTCATAGAGGAACTGACGCAGCTGTACATGGCTGTGTCGGCGACTTCCGGCAGCTCTCCGCCGTGCTCGATTCCTTCGCCGAGGCGGAGGTTTGCAGGAAGCTGAAGGACAGCCGACAGCCAGCTGCTAGCTGTCGGAGCGCTGGCTTCGACGAGGGGATCTTCTCCTTGGCGGCCTGGAGCGCTTTCCCGCGAGCCGGAGGTGTGGCTGGACATCTCCCATGCCAAGCCATTTGCGAACTGCTGCAGGGGCGGTGCCGGCTGGCCGGACCTGAGGCCCTGCGCTCAACACCAACACCTCCAGGTTGACGGCCTCTACCTGGCCTCGATGCACTGAAGGCAGCGAGACCTGGCTCCTCGTCATACTTTACACGGAGCCATCACGGCCGCCGTCGACGCGTGCTGGTGTTAAAGAAGCCCCTACTGCGCAGTTTCGATTGCGAGCAAATTTTCGGTTTCACAAAATCGCTCTCAGCAGATCCCCGATCCTCTCAGAATTAAAGCGCGTGGAGCTGCCGAGCGGGCCTGTTTGGGTGTAGAATTTTGGCTCCCTGGGTGCCGAGAGAGCCGTCGCGAACCGGGAATTCCCGGTTTCAAACCGGAGGATGCTCGGGATGGATTCCGCGCCCGTTTTTTGCAGCGTTTGATGACCAGTTCGTCAGAACTGAGCGCTGCTTCATTTTGGCACGCCCTGGGTGCCTGCAGTAGTTTTCCGCAACCCCCTTCTCCCCCAGAGTGATCAGCGGAAACATGGTTGATACCCTTCCCTGTTAAAGACGTTGAGTCCTTCCCTTTTTCGTCAAGGTCAAAATCGGGAAGGGGAGCGCGGATAATTTCTGTGCTTAAGCTTCGTAACATGTCGAATTAATGGGCTTCGCCCATACCGCGCTCCTTCGCGGGCCCCTAGGTTTCATGCTCTGGATGCTCGTTGTTTGATGCTCTGGATGTTCCTTGTTTCATACTCTGGATGCTCGTTTTTTTGTTTGACGCTGACGCTGGCGGCTCTCTCTCTATGGAGGGTGTTCCCAAACCCCACTATATCAACGCCACGAGCCTTGAAGTTCGATCACACTGAGAATTCCGAAATCTCGAGGGTGTCTAAAGTGAAGCTCTGAAGCTCTAGAACTCACGATCTGAGGGTCTCTAAACAGCTTGCAAAACAGCCAAAGGCTTAGTGTGTTGGATAGGGGGGACTATTGGACCATTCGACAGAGGCCTTATGGGGGGGTAACCAAGCCGAATCGACTTTGGATCATCATGGTTTCATCTTGCAGTCATCATGGATTCATCTTGCAGTCATCATGGAATCATCTTGAAGTCATCATGGATTCATCTTGAAGTCATCATGGATTCATCTTGAAGTCATCTTGACTCGATTCTTTGACATATCTCGCTTTCGAGGCTGAAAACGCCTGATTTCGCAGGTTTTTTCTCGGAAACACGTCGGAGAAACCGGTTTTCCCCCAAGAGGCCGAAGAGACCTTTTTCGAGGCTAAATCACACCGAAATCGGACCGAAATCGGACCGAAATTAATTTTTTCACCCAAAAAGCCGAAGAGACCTTTTTCGAGGCTAAATCACACCGAAATCCGGCAAAATTAATTGGTCCAATAGTCCCCCCTATCCAACACACTTAGCCTTTGGCTGTTTTGCAAGCTGTTTAGAGACCCTCAGATCGTGAGTTCTAGAGCTTCAGAGCTTCACTTTAGACACCCTCGAGATTTCGGAATTCTCAGTGTGATCGAACTTCAAGGCTCGTGGCGTTGATATAGTGGGGTTTGGGAACACCCTCCATAGAGAGAGACACAGAGTTTCCGAACCCAGAGTTCGAACATAGAGTTTTAAAACCCAGGGTTTGAACTCTTGCGGCCCGAAAGTTTCAACCCAGGGTTCGAACACAGAGTTCCCAAACCCAGTTCGAACGTTGAGTTTCCGAACCCAGGGTTCGAACTAAAGAGTTGAAACCCAGGTTTCGTACATAGAGTTTCCGAACCTGGAGTTCGAACATGGAGTTTCCAAACCCAGAGTTCGAACTCTTGTATCATTGCTTCTTGTTCTTTCATTTTATTTTCTTCGCAAAAACCGCCATTAAGCGATCGTGTGGCTTCTTCTTTTGTTTGTGCTTGCATTTGAGTTTGTGGTTTCTGTCATTGTACTGTGCTCTCAGTTAATTTTTGTCGCAACCCTTCTGTGTGGCTTCTTCTCCTTTTGTTTGGTAAGTCTTGGTGTTCGAACCCCGTTCGAACTCTGGGAGGAGTCTAGAACCCGGAGTTGGGCGGTTCATTTGTTCGCAGCTTTGGCATTCTCGTAGGAGACTTCATGTCCCTTCTAAAGCCCCTTTTGAGAAGAAAGACTCCTCATTGACAATCTTGTCTTTCTTTGATTTCTTCGCAAAAACCCCATGAAGCGGTGTGGCTTCTGCTTCGTTTGTGGCAGGGACTGGTCATTGGCAGCCTTTTCTTTGTTTTCGGCAAGCTTCTAAAAACAGCGGGGGGGCTGGGGGGGGGGGGCGCAGCCCCCAAACGTGGAGTTCCCGAACCCAGGGTTCGAACGCCCCGTGGGGGACGACTTCCAGAACCCGAGGTTCCAACATAGAGTTCCCCCAAATCCCGGGTTCCAACATAGAGTTCCCGAACCCAGGGTTCGAACTCGCTGGGGGACCGGGGGGGGCCGAACCCAGGGTTCGGACTCTCTGGGAAAGGGGGAGGAGTTCCCGAGCCCGGGATTCGAACGTGGAGTTCTCCAAACCCCGGGTT